TTTGCGTCCATGCATCCGTGCATCTGTGCATCCGTACATCCGTGCATCCGTACATTCGTGCATCGGTACATTCGTGCATCCGTACATCCGTGCATCCGTGGATCCTCAGCCTGCAAACACGACGAAAAGGGGGATGAGAAGGAAGCATACCCAACTCAACCTTCATGCGATCGTCGTCTTCTTTCGCGATCTCATCCTCCTCTCTTCGGGACCCTGGTCGCCTTTTTTATTTAACAACCCTGTTCTTTTTTTATTTTTGTATCGGGCTTACACGCCGAATGAACCCTCGTCGCCTTCATTCGGTATGTAAACCCGCTAGAAGGAAAAACATAATAATAATAATAATAATAATAATAATAATATATGGATCGTACATGGCTGCGAAATCGATCGTACATGGATTACCACCTTCAACCTTCCTTCCTTCCTTTTTTTTTTTTTTTTCACCATCGGTCTGACCCCCTCTAGGCCGTGATATCAACGCTACAGATTTGACCCCATTCTCGCTGCTAACAGCGCTTCATTCGTCAAACCACCAGGAGTCACGAGACATAGGGCATCGCCACACCACTCTCGAAATGCGAAAAAGACAAGAATTTGGCGGGTGAATCTGGCCATGTTCAATTCCCATTTTGCACATTTCGAGAGTCGTGTCGCGATGCCCATACAAAGTAGCCGCATTCTCCCAGTTCATGAACATTGCAATCGCCCCCTTGTAGATTTGTTACCGTAGCTAATCAAGCACTCACGGGAACTAAGCTATAAAGTTAAGTTACGAACTACGTTGTGTCTAAACATTCCTGTTTTAGACCTTCTTTAATAACCACGTCAACGGGAAACGCTTAAAAAAAGCCTAAGCAGAGGGCCTCGCTCCACCGAGTCACGACAGTAGTGTGTGAAATTTGATTAAAAAAAGGCGAGTGCAGCTGCCCACGCTCTATAACTAAATTACGTAAGAGGCGAAGAGAAGGACGTGAGGGCCACGCTCCACCGGTCTCCCTTCTATTTATACACCTTGCGTGAGTATAGCGGCGGCGGAGGCAATTCGCATACAAGAAGGCAAGAAGATAGGAGGAGGTACAACAACCACAACGGCACATCGACCGACAAGAAAGATGCATCGTACGGACGGATCGAGAGTCGGCGKACRGACCGGGAAASAGCRRAGCAACAGCAGAGGAAGGATACGATAAGAGGCGAAGAGGAAGRKGTGAGCGCGGGRGRSGRGRKGGGGGAGGGGGTAAGGGGGCAACGGAAGAGGGGGGGAGGGGGGGGGGGSGGGTAGGGGGAAGAGGAAGAATAACGGAGCGTCTTACGCGACGCGGGAAAATGAGTACGGCTTTCTCAACTATGTACTATCCCCTCGCCTCGCCTTACCTTCCTGCCGTCTTTCTTCTGCTGGCATAATACATACCTACAGTCTTCACAAAAATAGAACGCCTGGTCAAACTACAGCTGTATTTGGTTCGAATTACAGTCTAGTTACACTAATAATGTCCGGGCGTTCTATTCGGGTCATAATCAAAGCAGGGCAACTGGAAATGGATCGGTTTGCACGTCAGAGAGGAATCAGAGCGGAACGTAACCAAAGCAGATCCATCGGTATAGACCGGGAAATCCGCCCAGGTGCACGGCGGGAGTCTGCATTCCTGTTGGCGGGGCTGTGGTCCAGGTACACGGAAATCTGGTAAGAACCCATCAGCCGGGCAACTTGAAGTTCCGAGGCAGCTGAAGGTTCTTCACTCTAAAGCAGACAAGAGATCGCGGTCCTCGATGATAGGACGAAGCATCCCCTGCTACACGACGACGCCTGCCTCCTTTCGGTGCTCCATTCGGTCAATCATCTATCTCATTGTCGAAACGCTCGGTGCCCCAACGCAAGCGAGCAAGCTGGACGGAGCACGCAGACAGCGAAACAGACACGTGGACGATAGGAAGGGCGAGGGTGCAGAACGGAGCCGAATGGCTCAACTGCGACTATTACGGACAGTGGCAAGCACGAAAGCCTGGCGCGCGAAAGTCAGAAACACAACCGCGGACAGCCAAAGAGAGAGAGAGAGAGAGAGAGAGAGAGAGAGAGAGAGAGAGAGAGCGGGAGAGAGAGAGAGAGAGGAGAGGCTAGGGGCGAAGGGGAATGTGAGAGAAGCTAATGGAGGTAGGGCGACGACGGACAGGTGGAAATCGAGGCAAGGGCAAGAGGATTACAGGACATTAGACATTGCAACCGAATGCACGCACGAGCTCTGCCATTCGTCACCGAGGGAGATGCGTAGCAGTGAGATAAAGAGAGAGAGGCACAGAGAGAGAGAGAGAGAAGAGAGGCTGGAGAGGAAGGGGAATGAGAGAGAAGCCAATGGTGGTAGGCCGACGAAGGACAAGTGGAAATCGAGGCACGGGCAGGAGGATTAGATGACATTACACATTAGGACTGAATGCACGGACGAGCTCTGCCATTCTTCACCGAGGGAGATGCATAGCAGTGTTCGTTGACTCTCTGACTCCAGAGACAGCCGCGGAATTCGAATGACATGAGAGCTCCCCCCATTGTCTCCTCCCACGACTTTCAAGGACAGACAGAATGCAAGAGGCAAGGGCCTGAGAAGAGAGAGAGAGGAGATCATGGCCGTCAGTAGTCGAGAGAGGAAGGGCGGGAAAGCACATGATGAACGGAGGAGAAGCAAACCCAACGAAGTAAAAGCACATGATGAACGGAGGACCTCGGTAGGTACGCACCTTAGTGCAGACGCCGATGCCGCACTCGAACAGAACTTTGCTAACGAAGAGATCATCAGCAAGCAGGCGCTCCCTGAATCCCCCAAACTGCATCAACCATCTCATGAACGGCGACTTCTCCAGCTCTAGGAACTTCGACACAATCGAGGCCGGAATGCGCCCTTCGGCGACAGCCTTTGCCAAGTCGGCGGGGAGACTGTCGAGAGTCCGACCGACCGCTGCCATTATCGCAATCGCCTCTGACTTCCCCGTGCCGCCTCCCTCCCCTTCTCCAGCTCCTCCTTCATTCTGACCATCTCCGCCTCCGCCCCCGCCATTTCCCCGCGAGCCATCCCCTCCGCTAACCGACCCCCCATCATCCCCCCCTGACGCCACCTGGTCTGTAACGAAGGTTGATGACGATTGGCATCGTCTCCTGCTCCCCCTCTGGCACGGTATACGGCTGGCACATGCCGACGCTCCCGGGGTAATACCGAATACTCCTCCCTCCGCCACCTCCCACAGAGAAGAAGATGAGAACGACGATGATGCTAAGGTCGATGGGGATGTGTTGTTGCTGGAGAAAGCAAGAGCAAGGAATGCAGTAGTACTGGAGCCTGCCATGTGTCCACTATCTGCCATCGCCATCGCCATGGCCGTGTCCCATGTGGAGGAGGAGGCCGGCAGCTTGGTCCTCGGCCTTCGGCCGCATGGAGTAAGGAAGCGTGCTGGCCCACCACCCAGCGTCATCGCAGCCGCCATGTCAAATGCAGCGCTGGATGAAGATACGCATTCTCGAGGCATGGCATTGGCAGTCAGCTGCAAGGCGCCGCTGGCGCCATTGCCCGCGGAGATCATCAAGCCGCCACAGACTGCCCCAGCTGCCATTGCCATGATGATGATGGCACGTGGGCGCTTCACGCTCTGCCCCGCCGGTACGGTATTGTGTGATGGATGCCCGAACTCGGCTCCCCGCTTTCCAGACAGCAACCAGCGCCAAGGACGCGCCTCGCGGCTAGTGAACCGCGGTGCGGCCGCGGGCCGGCCTGACGACGTCCCGCGTTATAACCGCTGGAACATCATCGGGGGCGACACATCAGCGAGACTCACCGCATTCCCCGCCCACCGTTCTCTCCTCGCCGCGCACAGCTCAGGAGTGAAGGGCAACCTCCCCTTTCGTCTTTTCGCTCCGGCGCCGCATCTCGTATGCACCTGCTGACGGTCTTGGTTCGTTACCTTCTGCCAAGAGCCGCTCCCAACCCCGACCCCATCGGTGTCTCGCCTCCTCCGAGAGCGAATCTGTTCGGCCGAGTGCGTGCCCATTCGCGCGCCCCCGCGCCCGCGCGCGCGCGCGCGTGCATTCTGCCGGTAGGTGTCGTGCTCCTTGGTTCACACGGAGAGACGCCACCCCCCGGACCGGCGCTACTGCTTGTATGATAATCCCGCTGGCCTTCCCGACGTCCGGGGACAAGGTCCCACTTGCACGGATTACGAGAACCTGGCCGTTGATCTTTGTTATCTACGGTCAATCTCGCTTAATTCGTGCAAGTGGGACCTAGCCCCGGAACGGCGAGACTCGACTCGAGAATCCACACGCGGCAGACACAGAGGGGTCAACACACAAGTGAAGTAAAATTAGGGAGCTTTAAATGCGGTCGTATACATGCAGGTGTGAGTAATTGATGTCAGATACATGCAGGCCCGGCCTTAAATGCGGTCAGATACATTGGAGATAGAGCTGGTGTGAGTACATCCTGATTGAAATTCATCAGCACCTCAGAACAAAGAATCTGCCAGGCACCCAGCCACGGGACTGGGCAGCACTGAACCATTTCTCGATTTATGCGAACCTCCCTTCACAGAAGAGAGGTAGAAAGCTATGCTTGCAGGGGTCCCCTGTGTATACCCTTAGGGGTAGTGGTAGCTAGGTAATGAAGAAAGATATGTTCCATGGCATGGCAGAACGCCAGTTAAAAATATGTGAGGTGAGAGAAAGATATATGGCTGTCCCCCGATGAGGAGAAGGCAGCTTTCAAAAAAAAAAAAATCTTCTGTGTATCGTTCCCGAAGAACAGGCAGCACTGAACACAACGAATCCCAGAAATAAACATTTCTTTCAAGTAGAAGAAATTCTTTGTCTAGGTGACTGGTGGGTGGTGGGTGGTGGGTGGTGACTGGTGGGTGGTGGGTGCCGAGGCCACTCACGAAACGTGAAAAAGATCCGGCGGCCTAGCTCAGTTGTAAGGCTCGCAAGCGGCATTCACGAGGGCGTGGGTTCAATCCCCACGTCCTCATATACCTTCCTGGGCATGCTTCGTGCTGGTCACCCGGAGATAGACCACTGGATCCCCCAATAGCATTGAGCAGAGTCTGCTGATGTTGGTAGGGGAGGGGACCTGAGGGGAGGCACAGGGATTGATCCTGTTGGCATGGTCCCTGACGGTACCCGCTGTCCCCTGGCCGGTATCGCCCATCTGCAGGTGCAGAGCAGCCCCCGCATGTTCTCTCGTGAACATGGTTCTGGCTGCTACGGGGTTCCCTTATGACTATAATTAGGAGTAGTGGTAGGTAGGTTGTGTGAGGTGAAAAAACGTGAAAAAGACAAAAAGTCAAATACTATTTGAATAATATAGCAGGTGTATACTGTCACGCTTTGGGCGAGGATACATTCACAATTGTACACATTGGGTGAGTGGTGCGGCCAGGCCCGTAAGCACTTTCAAACAAAGAACTTGCCAGGTACGACGCTCCAGCTTCCCGACCTGCGCCATATTCCATTCCCCCCCCCCCTTCTTTGTCGAATTTTGGGTGACAGTCCGACGAGGCCTCTTTTTGTATTTTCATGAATGTGATATGCGGGACCCTCGGATCAGTTTTTGGAAATTTGTCTTTTACAAATTCGGGAATTACATGGGAATTACGCGCGCCTTAGCGAGCACACTAGGGATTTGGGTCGACGGTTAGGAATTCCGGAATGAGTGGAATCTGACGTGTCCTTTCTTGCGCATGAATGTTCTCAATTTCGTCTTGGAAAGCTCTGGGAATTTTCGTAGGAATCTGAATAGGTATAGGATTTTCTCTCGCGCTCGCTCTAACGCGCGGATATGGTACTTTTCAATTTGAATTAGCTGTAACTGTTTTGGTGCCCTTTTTGCCTCCGCGTCGGCGCCATGGGTGCGAGCCTCCCCTCCCCGCTTCCCACGCTGCCTTCGACACTCTCTTCTTCGCGCTCACGCTCCTCTCTCTGTAACTGTTTTTCATCTCTCCTTCGACCTTGCGCACCTTTTCTCTCCTTCTTGATCGTCTGAATCTTGGTTCCGTTTCACGCTATTCTTCGCACTCTTCTTCTTACCGCTTTAATCCCCGCGCTGAAATGCCCTGGCGACCCTCTTTTCACTCCTTGTAGCCAAGGAGACACGCCATGTAAGAAGGAAATTCCTGATACACGACGATTCTGATTGGCTACAAATGGGATCCAAAGGATCGACATGGCTTTCGTCGAGCGAGTATCCCTGAGCCTTTTTTTACTCCTCCCTGTCTCATTCCTAACCCTTCCTAGCGTCTATCTTCTTTCTGCAAGACTTGAACCCTCAGTAAACTAAAGTTTACATAGCATTTTCAATACTACACCATCGACCACTCGGACATCTTTCCATTCGGACATTTTGGGAACTTTATAAATTCTGCAAGTGCTCCCAAAAATCTCTCTCTCGACTCATCAGCCCTTTTTCGGGAAGCTGTGGCTAGGTGGTATGAAGGAAGGTGCGAGTCGAAAAGTCCCGACGAGCTAGCTGTAGTTTTGGCGCTCGGCATGTTGGATCGCCCGACCGACTATGGGATCCGAGCAGGGCCGTGCAGAGACTAAGTCAGCGGGGTGACAATCGCTATGGTGGATTGGCACGTGACGACCGGGATCGTCAGTGAAAGTGAGACGTTCGAGTCGGAAGTGAGTGAGTGCATGGCCTGGGCTATGGTGGAAGGCCGTCAGTCCATATGGCAGCAAAGGCAAGCTTAAAACATATTTTAATCATACATCATTCGTTTGACGCTCTAGGCAGTCAGATCATTCAGTCGATCAACCAATCGTCCTTACAATCATGTTATAACAAACTCTCTAACATGACTCACCGCATGCACATTCCGAAGTGAGAGAAGCAAGGTTACCATAATTCATCCATTACGACATAACGTGGCCGGAGGAGAGAGAGTGAGAGAGTATGAACGCCGACCAAGAGGGAGGAACGAGTAGAAATAAATCACAGAATGTCAGGCAATTTTGTCCAGGGAAGTTTCGACTTAAAAGCCAAGCGATTAGAATTCACACTCGAAGATATAAATTTTGGGACAAAAAAGGGAAGCACTTCTTACGTACCAACGCGTTAAAAGGATGCTTAAGAAAAAGAAGGACGACGAGGCAGAAGTAGACTCTCCTCTATCGGAACCGATACCCACCTTAACCATGCCCGACGCGCTCGAGACTGCTCGAGTCGCCACCATTTCGTATGCAGAGAAAAATCTCTTCGTTCGAGTTCGATTTGTTCTATGGAAAAGTGTGGAGTGCGATTGCGAGGTATGGGGAAGGCCGTTCAATGCCCTCGTTGATACCGGATCGTCTGCAGTAGCGATATCCTTGAAAACTGTTAAAAAAATTGGACGATTGAATTCGATTTTTCCCTTATTTGGGAAAGACAACTACGTCTCTGCAGACGAAGAAACGATGAACATAATCGGGATTATTGAAAACGTAGCTGTCAAGGTAGGACAACTACATGTCCTAGTTAACGCAATAGTAATCGATGTACAATCATATTCGGTACTGTTGGGATTACCTTAGGCGATGGTTGTGGGTGCACGAATACATTTCGACTCCAAGCAGCTCGTCCTTACACATACTGGAGGAAAGCCTCAGACGGTTCCGCTACGAGTCTCCACTCGATCACCAAGAAAGAATCCCAATCTCACTCGAATAAGAAAGATCCAAATCCCGAGTCCAGAGGAGTCGTCCGAAAGCAGTGACGAGGACCGACACCTATCCGATGGTGACGGGTCTGACGAGCGAAACTACGACGAACTGTTAAATTACATGCCTACCGAAAAGGAATGGAGCCAGTTAATCGAGTTGTTCGGTCACGAGGCTAAAGAAGAGTTTCGGATAAATCCGATTACTACTAGGACATTTGATCTGAACACAGAGGATAGCCAGACGGAGCCTGTTTCTCCTTTATCCCTACTTGCACTAACAGAAACTCAAATTTCAGTAACATCTTTCCTGGGATAAACTATCTTGCAAATTTTGGATATGGCTGACCTTTTGGGACCCTCTCGAACCTTGTACGAGGGCGTGCTTTCATTATGAGAAAGGTATCAACAAATGGATCAGTACTTGGATTTTTTCGTCTCCCCGCCTAGGCCATTGCTCATGCAAAGTGTTGTGATCGCGCTAATTAGGCAGGAGGTCGGAGCTCTGATCAATGATGTTCCCAATCTGATGCAGAAAACGACTGAGCTAACTAGATTGGGAATAACCGCAAGCACCACTGACCTCGAGACCGATGCCGAAATTAAGGAAACCGAAATGATTAGCCCGACCGAATTACAAATGCTTGCTACTTTTTTTTCGGTTCGCACCAGCAGTTCCATGTTCTCCAGCATAGAGGGGAGGCAACCGATAGAAGCAGGTCAGATCGACGTACGGCTGGACCTTTTCGAACGATCAACGATCACCTTACCTGGTCACGTTCCCCGAGAAATTCGTCAATCTTTGATTGATGTGTTGCATGGATATGCTGAGGTGTAGAGTATGCATGATTGTGATATTGCGTTGTCAAGTGTGATTGAAGACGTGATCCTCACAGGGGATCATCCACTGATGAGTTGCACCCCCTATCGATACTCTTCGGTGCAACGACGAGCTGCGTTCCAGAGAGTAAAGGAGTTTGAAGCTAATGGGTGGATCAAACCCGCCATCGGACCATGGTCATTTCTTTTGGTGATTGTACCGAAGAATGCGGGAGGGATCGTATATGCATTGATTATCGGAAGTTGAATGATATCACGATTAAGGACATGTACCCCCTCCCCCAGATTGATGAGTAATATGATGCTATTGGTGGTGCTCGATTTTCAGTAAGTTTGATGTTCGTCATGGATTCCATCATCTCCTAGTTTGAAAGGAAGATCGCCCGAAGACGGCATTCGTTCTTTTCGAAGGGACTTGGCAATGGATTCAATGCCCGATGGGAATCTGCAATG